AAAAACTCTATAACATGGGTTAATAGGACACTTAACGAAGCTTGACAGCGGTTTTTGTGTATTAAATTCTTCGCCGCAATATTCCATAGTGGGTCCAAAAATTGTTCGCCACCTATATTTTTCGTTTTCTTCGTCGACCATAATAGCTGGAATAGATTTGAAAAAAGATTTGAACAGCTGAAAGAATTTTCGATCTCAGATAGGTACACAAAGGTTCTATCAAAACTCGTGAAATTAGGGTATCCGGAAAACCCAAATCTCAGAAAACCCAGTCCTGAAGTTCAATCTAGAAAGTCTTTGCAAATAAATCCATCGTGTAGCGGAAATATTTCTAAAGAAAAAGAGACGTCTCCGAACGTTGTACGGCATTTTCCCATGGGAGCAGCATTCAATTTACGTAGGTGGCGAACAATTTTTGGACCCACTGTGGAATTAAGCGGCGAAGTATTTAATACACAAAACCGCCCTCAAGCTTAGTTAAGTTTCGGGGGTCACTCAAATATGTTCTCTCGTTAGAAAATTTCAGTCACAATCAGTCTTAGCTAGATTTTTCATCTATCAAATTTATTCGATAAACATGAGCAGTAAACATGATGTTTGAAATTTGAATACACATCTTTTTATCACAAATTGGTTTTTCTGCTACAGTTGAATCATCTCGACAGATTGTATGTATAGCATTCTACGAATCATTATGATGATTGTATTTCAAATCAACGAAAAAACATTTCAAATACTTTTTTATTTGAAATTAATGATTGCAGTCTAACTTGGCGAAGAAGAGAGTAAACAACTAATAGACAAACATATAACACACAAAAAAGAAGACAAGAAGAGGAGAAACTGACGGTCATATCCGATCACATGTACATGTGGAGTACTTGTACAGTTTCATCTTTTTCTGTTATCTATTACACTGTGGTAGAAAGCAGAAGAACAAAATTGCTCCAGTTTTGGTCTTTTCTTTCTGTTGTATATGTTTTTATAAAAATCAGTCACTAATCTAACTAGTTAGTCACATGTTCGCAAACACTCAGTCTCACTCACTCAGTCTAGTAGAGTCTCAGTCACGTGGATCATCAGTCTTAGTCAAGTCTCAGTCATGCAAAAAAACCTAATCAGTTGCGACTGAGACGTGGCCATTTCTACGCAAGTCTTCCTTTTCGAATGGCGAAAATTGCAACTCTCTACCTAAAGATCTGGGTTCATCCCGTATTCCGAAAACGATAACGGCTGTATTTTTCATGTATGATTTTATCTCTGGTTGGCAATGAACATAGTTTTCTATAATAGCATACAACTATCTTTAGTTTCGTTCAGATCACTCATTACTGAAGTCCTGTGCTTATTTCGATGTGCTAAATCTCTCCTATGCGACAAATCTTCTAGTGTTTGTATAAATATTCTTAATTGTATACAATATTTATTGTTAAAACCAGTGTCAAAGTAGTTTTGCCAGTATTCAATTTCCTCCGCCATGTTGAAAGCATCTTCCTGAGCATCGTGAATATTCCAGAACTCAATTGGAAACGTGGCTGATCGATCAACAAATGTTTGCTGAAAGAAATTGATAAAGTCATGCGTAAGTTCAGTTGTAAGTCGGTGGAAATGTTCCTCAACTTGTTTTGGTTGTAAGTAGCTCAACGACAGCAATTCATTCAGAAGTAGATCGATGGCGTCGGCACTGAGATCTGACTCCTAAAACAGAATGAAAAATTAAATTCAAGATAAATTACTAGCAGATATCACAGTCATCTTCATCATCGAGCGGCTATAGACTTCGAACGAGTATGCCTCATACTCTCTTCGTATAGCAAGAATGCAAGTATTCGAATGTTGATGAAATGGTTGAACGAATTTTATTCGAACTGTTGCTTCCGCTAAAAAGTCTTGCTCTTCATAGAACGTATCGCATTAACGGGTAAATGTTTGCTTAGGATCACCGTTCTCAGATAAGCATTTTCATTCAGTAGAGGAGCTTGAGCTAGTTAAAGCCTGATGATGTGCTTCTAACCGGTAGTTTTACCTTTTATAGACATTTTGCACATGCTTTAATAATGCTTTATGCAGAAAACTGTTTCGTCATTTCAACTATCCCACGCTGCATAGAGAAGAGAGTAGAGATCTTACAAATGGTATATAATTACTTGTAATCGTTGGAAAATAATTCGTTTATAATGCACATATGATCCAATAACACTAATTCCTGGGAATATTCTTCTAACACTGTTAGTAGGCTTGATTTCAAAATCGGATATGAACAACAGTGGATTCCAGTTTGGTATTAACATTAATATCCGACCAAACAATAAATCATATGACACTTCGCTTTTTAATAGAGCATATAAGGCTGGAATAAATTCATTATTTCGATTAACGTAAAAAATACAAAATTTTGAAAATGAATCTGGTACAATAAACTGGCAGCTAGTACTGTCCATATGAAAGTCCAATGCATCTTCCAACAGATGCAAATTGTCTTCCGTGCTAAATATCATAAAACGATTTTCAGATTCTTCTCCCGAATCGTATTGTAAGAAACTTTCGTTTTTCAACGTTTTTGTGAGTAGTAAATTCGCATCAGACAGAGTTTCTTTCGCTATCGGCTTTATCTGCTTTTTTCTATGATAATGTACAAGTCTTTTGATATGTTTAAGTTTTGTTAGCTTTTTTCTAGCTTCAACTGACATTTTCGACGTACAACGAACAATAATATCATTCATCGGTTGTTCTGTCGTTGCACACTGTTTCAGATCGTCGTAGACTTTTCGTATTTCTAACTTGCAAGCATTTCTTCCATGATTGTGTGTTTGTGAACTGATGAATATCACTTTGCTTGCCACTGCATCTGTATGTAAACGTGCATGACATTTGATTGCAGGATTTCTCGAATGTTCACATTTCCAATATATTTTATTTTTGTACGATCCATCTTGAATATAAGAATAACCTTGGTAGACTAGTAAGGGATTATCACGTGATGTATTCAGAAGTACGACTTCCATTGTTATGATACACTAAAATAGATATGCAGTTTTGCTAAACATTTCAATCAGCCACGCAGGTCTAATAGTGTCAGTGTCAGTCCGTTTAGCGTTCTTTACTAACTTCAAACTCGCTCGATTAAGGAATCGGCTAATGAATACAATTAAAAACTCATCATGTGAATGCAGTAGTTATATATGCAGAATAACTCCAGCTTTCGTCATTTGTTTTACCTTCTTGCTTTGGTGTTTTCGACTGATTTGTATAAAAACATCACCGATTTATATGAATAAACGAGCCATGTTTATGAATAATTTTCCTGTTGAAGTATGATGGGTCAGACTGCATCTCTTCAGCTCATTCATGAGCAGACGAACTCTCCGGGACACCTCTTTAAAATTACACTGTCTACTTTGAAGGTGAATAAAACATAGACAGTTTCTATTAATAAATAAATCACCTGTTTTTTACTTTACATTCTTTTCGTTCTCTAACAGTCTACATCGTTTCTTTTCTGTCGCCAAGACATATCTCAGCACTGAGTGCAAAACTGGAATCACAATGACTTATTTTCATTCGAGTTTTTTTTCTCATGAGAACTGACGGCTTGTACACATGCTAGTCGTTTGTTTGCCTCCCACTGTTTTGCACTTAGCAATGATTGTCGTCTATACAATAACAAAATTTACTGTGATAAATGTTTCACTTATGATTATGAATGTAAAATAACAACATGATTTATAATTGACGATTGCAGGATACAGAACAACATTTTCAATTATAAATGACGAAGGAGGTAATGACTGCGGGTCTATAGAAATGAACACGGTTTGTGTAAAACACATCTTGGCATACTTGTGGTGATAAAATGTTTGGTAGAAAGCATCATCTAATACTCTGGAGATTGCGTAAGTTTATTAAGCTTGCTTGAGATGTTATAAATCACAATGACTTATTTTCGTTCGGTTTTCTTTTCTTAGGAAAAATGAGGACTTTTATACTTACTAGTGACTGCTGTTTCTCTCCCTGTTTTGTAATCGAGAATATTGTCGTCATGTTTTCGATTAGCATGAACTGTTCCGCAAAATCACATAGCACTTGTCGATTTCGGAAAGCTCTCCAAAGACCATTGTGGTTTGTGAAAGTTGTGTTGAATAATCATTTTCATCGTATTTTTGAGTTAATGCTCATTTTTGAGCTAACAAATTACACAAAATTGAAGAGCCATTATATGTTAACAAACACTCGTTGCAATCTCAACCAGGCTACAATCGATCGTTTTGTTTTGTTTTGTTTTTGATCCTTCGAACTACACATTGTTCCGCAAAAGCAATCGCACCGTCGCGTCTCAAGGAGAATTACAGCTGCTGACTTGAAAAGACACTGGCAGTTAAGAAAAGTTTGGACTGAAAGACCTTGACACTTTTGATTGTATGGATAGCACTAATAAAGGGAAAAGCTGAAGATAGTCACTGGTAAAACCTCGCTTATTTCAAGTGTTTGATTCATCACTATAGAAGAAGATCAATTTGTAACTCAAACTCAGCCTTTTGAGTGAAAACGATTCGAAAGTTTAGGACTGTGACTTACAACTCACTGAAAGACATTTGCGTCGTAGTTCATATTTTGCGACTATTTCAAGTCCTGAATGCAGAGTTTATTTGATGATCCGACTTTTTTGCGCGCACCTTCTACGGTTTTTGAAACTGTTATTGAACTTCATCATGTAGCGCAGATAAAATGGAATACATGCTGATATCTTAAAGTAGTTTCGAGCAATTCTGGGCGAGTTATGAATTTCTTCGGTGCAAATAGTGAAAAATGGATGATGTCGGCTAGTATAGCTTTTCACTAGCTTTTGACGCTTCTTCGGCAACCAAACGTTACCACGGGGCTCAGCGCGCCCGAAAACATGTGTACCATGTACTTTTGCGGTTACCAGAGTTTTCAGCTTTGGCGGGTACAGATGTCCGCGTAGTTTGTCTGTAGTTCCAGAACCACAGCAGATGGGGACGTGGGACTCGCGCCAGGCTGTAGAGTAACATCTGTTCTATATTCGCAT